CTCGATCTCTCTATGTCGCCCCTCGAGGTGCATCATGGCTCAAAGCGAAAAGCTATTTTCAATTAATGCAAATAGGGGAAAACGGAAAATCCACCATGATACCTTTGACAGGCGATTGGGTTTGCTATCGCATCACGTCATAAATTTGACAATGATCAATGCCTATAATTACGTACGATAAATTCGATAATGATCAATGCCTATAATTACGTACGACGTCCGTTTCGTTTCCACTTTATGTATTTGCATAATCTGTTAATTATGTGCAACAATAAATATCCGACAATAATGATCTCTAAGCGGGATATTTATCCTTGATAGAATTCTATCTTCGATAACATCCGACGACATCCGGCTTGCGGATTACAATTAAACGAATCGGCACGTAAATCAAGCTACGGGAAAAGAATTGAATTGAATGAGAAAACAAATAGGCAAAGCGCTACGCTATAATTACGTGCAGCGAAATCAGAAAATAAATCGGAATGCAAAAATTTACGATGAAGAGAATATGAGAAAATTTCAGCCCTCGCCATTCTTCCTAAGGACGTACCTCGTAGCTTCGTCAGCTCGTAAGCGAGCCGTTATTAAAATTACATCAGCATCGACGTTCTAATTGTTTCGTCGAGTTCCGAGAACACGAATGGCAAATAATTCGCTCACTGTCAGCCAGTTTATACGTACATATGTGCTTCACAATGGTGCTTTGTGTGCTAGTGCCAGACTCACTTCGGTTAAGGATGAGAGAACAAATAGATAGGTTACTATTGTAATTTTCTGCATTCCAAAAACTCTCGTTAATTCCTCACGAGACAGTACTTCACGTTAGAAATATCACGGCATTATATGCGGCGGATGACAAAATTAATTGCAATAGAGCAAAATAAGATGACTATTTCCACTGGATTTCTCTGTGACTTAATCATCCTTAGATAATCTCAATGTTTGTCGAATGATGAGATCGGAGCAAAATTAAATATATACCACATGTTGACTGTGCGACGAATTTGATAACGCTATTATTTCAGACGAGCTTACGTCATTTTATCGTTATTTTCATCTTACGTCGTGAGCTTAATTATAATAGTTATAAACAATCATGTCACGTTGGTTACTTGATAAAATTTATTTCTGCTTTCATACCTCCTCCTTTCATGTATCGAAATATATGATAATGCGTTACACGTGTGCTCTATTTTAATCTATCGTTCCATCTTGCCTTTGTAACCGTGTTTAACTCTCTTCTATAATTACGTACGATCGTGCTTCAACAATAACACGCTCTCGTTATGTGACACGGAAACTAATTATTTCGCGGGATTTAATTTATTAAAGTATTAATAAACTCGTATCCATCCTTAAGGCCGGCGACGTAAACGTCCGCTTTATCATCGACGTTTAGAACTCGCGCAGAAAAAAAAAAACCTCATAGATAAAAAAAATATAGAATAGATAAAAAAAAAAAAACGAAGGTAAAATAAAACAAAGCGTTTATCGCGAAAACGGATGTAAGCTACATACAATGCGCCGCGTATCTTCCGAAGGTTTCGTGTTTCGAGTTTCTAGAGAAGGAAGATATCCGACCCTTTAAATTTCACGCGACGTCTCGCGACTGCTCGTGCGGATCGCGCGCGCGAGAGCCCTCGCCTGTATCGCGCGTGTTACGGCGTAAATTTAGCAGATCGCGATAAATTCGCGCCGTGCGACATATAAAAATGGAGATATTATTGCCCTATTCGCGTCCCCGTGAACGGGCCAGGAGGACCGGACCGTGCGGCGCTCCTCTTCCGCGTTTAGTCAATTCTGACCGCCACCTGTGGCTTCGCGCGCGCCGTCTTTCACGGCCACCTCGAATTCCTACGTCGTCGACCGCCTTCGAAACCGCGCGTCACACCCACACACATACACACATATATGTACATACGCACACGCGTATACACGTAGAGCGAATAGGCAACACACGCGGCGTACACGCGGGCGCCGCGCTCTCGCAGTTAATACCTCGCGAAAAATAAACATCGCGCTGCGACGCGATAAGCAAAGCGGATGCGCGCGCGCGCGCGCGCGCGATTTCCAAGGTCATCTCTGAAATTCCAATTCCGTTCGGATCACCGATACGAAAATGGAAAAAAGCGAGAGATAAAGAGAATCGAAACTGGAAGGTAAGGTTTCTTCCGTCGAATAATCTTTCGCGATATCACGAATTCGGAGGAGCTAAATTGTGTTATTATTTTTTTTCACGTATCATGAAATTCTTGTTAGTAAGACAAATTGTTTGTTCCTATGCGCCTCGCATATCATCGTAAAAGAAATCACAAATTCGTTAAGTGCTTGTCCCGCAATCGTTTTATTGCGTTTTACAAGTATTATTAATTGGTACGCATTTCGTTTAAATATTTATAAAACATTTCCAAGATAATACGGTGACTCACGATAACACCCGGCACCGAGATACAGAATTTAATATAAGCTACGCGCTTAATCGAATAATCACATGGAAAAAATTTCTCGACAAATTGTTACTCGTCGGGAGACGAGAGACAAAGTAATTGCTGCCCTTCGAATGAGATAAAAACAGTGACGGACGACGAATAAGAACAGGCACGCGCGATTTCATTTAGCGATTTCCCAATTATTATTTTTATTTTGTTTATACCGAATTTTATAACAACGATACGTGCGAAAGATCCCGGAAAGATTAGTTTTATCTCTCGCATGCGTGCATACACGTTATCTCGTGACGGCGCTATAAAACGCAATTATTTTCGTCCAGCGTCGACAGCGACGACGATGACGACGACTCAATCGACGATCTCTCATGTCTGACAGCGGACCAACAGATAGGCACCGGTACTCTGTCAGTTGGAACCGCTACCAGAGCTACGCGCAGGCGGACCAATAATGTGGAGCCGGGTGCGAGCAATAATCGCACGTGGCGATATCGCGAAATATTGACATAATATCGTCGAGTGGAGCGAGCGTAAGCCTATCAAAGGCCGAACGGATCAATTCCATTTTTTTGCAAATTTCTTAATTTCAGATTAGCATAATTAGCTTACAATCTCAGAAATATCGTTTTTTATTTCACGGAACTGACTGGTTTTGCGATTTAGAGACGCGAGTAAGAAAGGGAGTATCTCTCCTCTTATCAACGATGAGCGTTGTCCATCGAAATTGTTGCGCGAAATAAGCCATTTGGCTCTGTGAAGAATTACAGGCGCGTAATTAATTACGGTATCGATATTTTTGAAAAAACGTTTTTTCAGAACACAATTTTGAATTCGAGATCTGAAAGTCAATGTACGACTTGAAATTTTGGCTTACCAATCGGCTTTACGAAATCATGCTGAGAATTTACCGAGAGAATATTTTCAATTGGAAAATATTTCCAGGAGAAAATGCATGTAGATAAATAGGAATACAATGTAGCGACATAGTAGTTTATGCGACAGGAGGCGAGAGACTCGAGTCACTTGGCTCATCACGCTTTTATCACTTGGAAATCAGTCGGGTCGCTATACGACTTCGCATACCACGCGGCTGTCATCAGCCGCGTTAAACGTCAAGATACGACGACGAGGACGCGTCGCGTCGCAATTTTCGGCAGCACTCTCTCTCTTTCTCTCTCGGCACCGACAACATCGACGCACGCGTGTTTACGCCGATACTTACTACGCACTGTTTTCGCCGGCGAAAACGCACTTCGTCTCCCGGTGCAGCAACACAACCGAGAATTCGTTCTTCCTCTTCGAGGCCCGTAGGGTGACGGCAAGCCCTCTTCATCTGCGATATCCGACCGGCCCTTTGTCCCTTCGATCGGCCTCTTTTCGAGGAACCTTCGGAGGGGGGGAAGCAGGAAGGTCGCTCACGTGCGAGGTCGCTTCGATCCTCGCTCTTTCGCAACTCGCTCTCGATTATTTATCCCTGCGTTTCGTATATTACACACGTGGTATTCGACTGGTTTCGCGAACACGGCGAAACGCTAATCGTGATTCGAGCAACGCGATATCTTCTCTCCCCCCTCACTTATCGGTTCGCTCGTTCTCGCTCTCTCTCTCTCTTTCGCGCGCGCGCGCGACCAGCAATCGCAACACTCACGCGAGGCGCGAGCCGAGACTGACTGGAGGCGCGACTAGTCCGTCGGTTTTATACGAGTGACTCGGTTTCCCCCGGCGGCACACGACGCGTACGTACGCATCGAAGGAGCAGCAGCCACCGGGCCGTCCGTATGCTACCTGGCCGCCGTAGCCGCCGGCCGCGCCGCTCCGACGATCGGTGGGACGCGCCAAAATTCACTTTTGAAATTCGCCGAACGCACCTCTCTCTCTCTC